TAAACAGAGATGTACAGTAACGAAGTAGAACATCTTAAGTACTGTAGATAAGTACCAAAATGCAGTATCTATACTTTATTGGAGTATATATTTTTTCCTTACTTTTACTTGTACTCATTTACTACATATTTTTTATTAATTTAATACTTTTACTTTTACTCCACTACATATTTTTTATTAATTGAATACTTTTACTTTTACTCCACAACATATTTTTGATTCATTTAAAACTTTTACTTTTACTCCACTACATGTTTTTTATTAATTTAATACTTTTACGTTTATTCCACTACATATTTTTTATTTATTTAATACTTTTACTTTTTCTCCACTACATATTTTTGAATAATTTAATACTTTTACTTTTACATCAATACATATTTTTTTATTTATTTAATACTTTTACTCCATTACATATTGTTTTATTTATTTAATACTTTTACTTTTTCTCCACTACATATTTTTCATTTATTTAATACTTTTACTTTTACTCCACTTCACACGGCCTGAATGGTTACTGTTACTGATATTTAAACGTATTGAATCTTCCCCAGTCATAGAGTCAGAGCCAGAGCTGGAGATATCTCTGTCACAGTGTATAAGCCTATTTAAAAAAGACTCCTGAAAGATGGTGAAATTGTCTGTGAGCTACTGGAGGAATTCCCAGTATCTGGTTAAGAGATAAACCTGGTTAGTTTACCTGGAGGCCGTGGTTAACCTGTAGATGCTTCTGTTCCATCTTAAGGTTTTACCACCAGGCTTAACTTAAGATGTTTTATTTGTGTTTTGTTTTCTGTTTTTTGTAAACACCTGTATGGCCTTTCACACGTTTGAAATAATATAAACAATATCTATCACACTTTTGACTGCCTTTTTTTTTAACATACACATTACTTGTACTTTTACTTATACTTGTATTTTCGATACTTGAGTAGCAATGAAATGAAATACTTCTACTTGCAATACTTAAGTAAAATAAAAATGGAGTACTTCCGTACTTCCACTTAAGTATGGAGTTGAAAGAATACTTCTACTTTTACTCAAGTCAATTTTTTTATATAGTAATTGTACTTCTACTCCACTCTCCAATCTCTGTGCATATATCAGTCCTTTATTAAAGGCAAAATAAACTGTTTCCATGGACATAAAGTCCATCTCTGTAAAGTTAGAGATGATTCAACCGGCTGGACTCTGAGAGGTTCTGGTCACAGAGAGCCTTTATTATTTTAGATTATTTTATTCTGCAGATTTATGGCTTGTAGTATGGAGTTAAAAGAATACTTCAACTTTTACTTAAGTAATTTTTTTTACATACATCTACTCCAGTACTTTATACATCTCTGTATAAATATAAACATATACATCTCTGTTACCCCCCCTGAGTGGCAGGAAATGTCTTGAATCTGAAACTATAAGTAAGAGTTTCTATTCCCGTTTGCCCAGAGTGCGTCAGACTCCCCCCCCCCCCCCCATGCCCCCTCCCCCTCCGTGCCCGTCTGGAGTGATTTATTATGGGTCCACCCCCCCTCCCCCCAGTTGGAGAAAACTCTGGAACATTTCCAGTCCTCAATGTCACAGAACCGGCTCCTTACTCCTGTGCGTAAATCAGGTCTACGGGACTCTGAGAACATTTTAGGACTATTCTGGGACATTAATACTCAATAATACTCATTTAGAAAATGATTTAGAAAGCACTTCAGGTCTGTGTCGCAGTCAGTATGAATGGATCCGTTTGTGCTCCATAATAGTAAAAAGAATCAGGAGATAAAGTTAAATAGAATAGATAGAATAAAATACGTTGGAAAAGAGACCCAAATTATTAATGAGAATTAAAATAGATGCTTGCAGATTTAATGGACTCCTTTATACCTCAATAACCCAAAAATCAAAGAAAGGAACAACAGAATTTGCTTGTTTCTATTCTTTTCTCGCTCATTTTCGGGAGAAAATGCGCAAAATATTTCCCTTTTTTTTAGATATTTCTCATTATCTCTCATTTGAATTTAAAACCACAGATTACCAAAAACACTCAAAAAACAAAGAAAACACTTTTCATCCAAACTGAGACCCAGAACTTGATCGATTGATCGATCAATTGATTAATTAATCCATCTAGACGGAATAATGAACAGTCTGCTGTATACAGTGGGGGAAATAAGTATTTGACCCCTTGCTGATTTAGCAGGTTTGCCCACTTACAAAGAATGCTTATTTTTCCTCATCAGATGGTTATCAATTTTTATAAATTCATATGATGTGATTTTCTGGAATTTTCTTTGGGATTCTGTCTCTCACTGTTAGAATGTACATATGATTAAAGTTATAGATCGTTGCATTCTTTGTAAGTGGGCAAACCTGCAAAATCAGCAAGGGGTCAAATACTTATTATCCCCCACTGTTTGGGTGAATGGGTTTTGATAGGAAATGAAAATTAAGAAAACCAATTCAACACATTGTATTTAAATGCATTTAAATGTATTGTACTACCTTTTCTTGAATAAAAAAAAACATATATATAACAATTATGTGCTAAGATAATTTAAAGATGTATCAAAGCCATTTGTTGGTGTTGTTTGAGAGTCATTCCCAGTCAGTTTTTCTGAGGGAAAATAGAAATAAAGCAGAACGGTGCTGATGTCTGACCATAAAAAAACACTCTTATTTAGTTTAATACCAATACCAGTTATAGATCGTTGCATTCTTTGTAAGTGGGCAAACCTGCTAAATCGGCAAGGGGTCAAATACTTATTTCCCCCTGGTGGCTGAATAAGGTTTAGTTCCCTGTAACTGGTGGCTTAATAAGGCTTTGGTAGATAAGATAAGATAAGATAAGAGCTTTATTGATCTCACAGTGGAGAAATTCATTGGTCACACATCGGTTAGAGTTCAAAAGGAGGAAAGGGTGCATAAAGTACAGCAAAAACAAACAAATATACAAGGAAGCAACACAGCGCAGAGATTTGAGTGACTAAAATATATACAATCATTGATGGCTCACACACAGTACACATATTATTTTACTGTATTATTACTAGTATTTACCTGTACCTGATGGTTTAAGTAAGTTTTGGTATTTACCTGTTTCTGGTGGCTTAATAAGGTTTTGGTACCTGGTGGCTTAATAAGGTTTTGGTACCTGATGGTTTAAGTAAGGTTTAGGTATTTACCTGTACCTGGTGGCTTAATA